TGTGTGTGTGTGTGTGTGTGTGTGTGTGTGTGTGTGTGTGTGTGTGTGTGTGTGTGTGTGTGTGTGTGTGTGTGTTGCACATAGTCACATGCTTTTCTAGGTCTCAACCAGTGGTTTAGAAAGCTCCTCCTAAATTAGAATTTAATGAGTGAAACCATTATCTTCAAAACGAGCCAAAAGGAAAAATCATTGCAAGCATCATTCTTGCGATGGCATTATATTCATCTCTGGTTTCTTCGTCTTGATAACCAGATAAGCATTGGGTTTGAGTGTGGCGGATGGCAATAGTTTTTCAGGGTGGGGGAGATGTTTGAGGGTGCACGTCTTAAGAGAAGGTTAAAAAGCAAGGGGGGATATCTAATGGACAGAGAGACAAAGAACATGGAAGGTTAACAAGAAGTAGAACAAGGAGGTAGAGGAGTGGCGAGAAAAACATGAGCCGGTGAACCATTTAAATCTCTCTTCGAATGGGGCAGAGGGCTCGTAGTACCTACCACACTTCGCACCTACCAACAAAGGGGAAGGAGCCTAAATTGACGGACTTGGACCACGAACCCAAGCACGTGGCATACTTGAGAGTTAAGGACACTTCTTCGTGTGTTGTATGCTTGATGAATGGGACTAAGCAAGGCGCTAGCCAGACTTCAGAGGCCTCTGGTTTGACATATCACTGAAAGATAGGGAACAACGGATATGGCAAAGTTTGCACAAAGATGGTTGTTTTCCATAAACCACAAGGATATAGTTACTATATATCTAATTTTTGGTGCAATTGCTGGAGTAATGGGCACATGCTTCTCTGTACTAATTCGCATGGAATTATCACAACCTGGAATTTTTTTTTTTTTTTTTGGAAATCGTCAACTTCATACTGTGTTAATAACATCTCACACTTTCTTAATTTGTGTGTCGCTGTGCTAGATGTTTGCAACCACACCACTGCACGTATCCACCCGTAATTGGCCACTGAACTCGGCCACTGAACTCGGCCAACGACCTACGAAATGAAATGTGTTGATTTTCTTTGTATCATTCTGACCTTTAGCGGATGGCCCCAATGACTTGGACGCGGAAGAAAAAACAAGTCACAAGTAATTCAGGAATTTTGCTCACCTTATCCCACTTGGGTTTGGACTCAGATCTGCGCTTCAGTAGTTCAAGGGAGTATCACCAGTACTGGACCCGCATCCCAGAACGGGACACAAATAGGAAAATAAGATCATAAGTAATAAATAATAAGAATAATAAAAGAAAAACAAGAAGAAACAGAGGGAAATGCTAGTACTCGTTTGGTCCTGGCCGTCGGGCTCGTGTTCGGGAGCGGCAGCAAAACCGAGGATAGTCCTACAGAACCCTCAACCCCTCAATTTTTTCAATCATACCCGATCGCTCCGACGTTTCTTATTTGGCTTTGATCCCCATACTTTCTTTGTGAAAATTCAATGTCATAACCAATAGAGTTAGGCCCAAGTTTGAACTTTGTAGTTTCAGAACACTATATAAAGGTTCCTAGACCATAACCGGGTCCGCCAAAGCCTACCAATTCATTGCACGGTCGTCGGTCTCCGATGTTGCGCGTGCGAGGTTGAGAAACCACATCTTCGTTATTGGCACATCAAGTGTTTTCGGGAAGGACCGCCTAGGAGCCCGAGGCCGGACTCGTGGCTTAAGGGATGGCTTACAGGACTGCACGACCAAACAGTCGAGTAGACGGCGGGGCGTCAACCTTTGAGTGGGTCAGGCAGGCTGAGCCTGCCTAAGTCAGAGCGGGGGATCTACTGGGTGCAACTGTTCAAATAGAAGAGTCGTTGTTATAGCTTCGGTAATAGGAGCTAGCCTAGTAGATATTTCATCAGACTTTCAGTTGTAGAAGCTGGGATCGAACCGGATGACGCCCTACTGGTGTAAGCGCCTTTTGCAGGAGCAGCCCATAGGGCTTGGACTATTAGGCGCAACCAATTTCAGCCATGCCATCGACGAAATCATGTGGCAGGAATCTGCCATGTGGATCAGCATGACCAGTACACAAAGATGACATACATAAATCGAAAAACGATCCTTTTTTTTTTTTTTTTTTTTATCCATATGGATTCGAACTCAGGTCAACATTTTGACGGTTCGTGGATGCCTCCACGACCACGGAAAGCCAACGGGGAAAAAAAACAGACACACACACACACATTAAATTAAAGCTGCCAGATGGCGGATGCTGAAGTTGCGAGGCACTTCTGCCCAAAAGGGATAACGTGCTGCCTGTTTTCATGGGCAACACTACAAGCGAGTTTTTTTTGTTTTCCTTTTTTTTTGTTGATTCTACGGATAAATTGTTTGTAGATTTCTTTGTTTAGATTTGTTTTTCTTCTTTTTTTCATTTTTTCCATTTTTAAGATTCCTCCGGGTCGTTTCTGTTGCTATTTGTCGTAGTCTGCACCGATTCGTTTCGATGAACGGGTTGCAGTAGGGAGTAAGGAAACGGATAACCGTTTTCATTTTATTTCATAAATTTTTGTTTTTTTTTCTTTGGATACTTTTTAATTTTAATTTTTAGATTTTATTCTATATTTTTTTCTCTTTCTTTCTTTTAAAATCCTCCAACAGGGCTTTCTTAACAGCAACCTGTTATAGCGCCTGAATTTGGTGCTCGGGCCGCGTACAGGCCCAGGGGTAAGAAAACCCTGTTGAGCTCGGGCCGCGTACAGGCC